GAAAGAAATCAAGTGTTTTTTGTGTAAGAAGACTGGACACATTAAGAAAGATTGTCAGAAAAAAAGGGATGGTTCGAAAGCAAAGGTAAACATAATATTTTAGTCTGCTTTGAATCGAATGTTATTGAAGTGCACAATAATACTTGGTGGTTAGATTAAGGTGTTACTACTCATGTTTCTCATATTAAACAGAGATTCAATATGATCCAACCCATAAAAGGACTTGAAAGACATGTGGTCATGGGGAATAAGATGAAAACACACGAATATAAGGCATTGAGAATTATAGATTGGTCTTAGACACCGGCTTTCACCTAGCTCTTAAAGGATGTCTCTATGTTCCTGAAAATGCTCGAAATCGTGTTTTTATTAGAAAATTAGATTCAATAGGTTTTTCTGTTAAATTTGGTTTTGGTACTTTTCAGCTATATAAACAAGAACACATTTTCAGTTCTGGAATTTTAATAGATGGTCTTTATCGTTTTAATCTTGATAGAGAATTTTCGGAATTCTTGTTTAATGTTGAAAATATTAAGGGCGTTAAACGTAGTGCACCTAACAATAAAAGTTTGGCTTTATTGTGACATCAAAGATTAGGTCACATATCCAAAGAAAGGTTAATAAGATTGGTGAAAAATAAAATTTTACCATGTTTAGATTTTAGTGACTTAGGGGTATGTATAGACTGCATCAAAGGAAAGCAGACAAAACATATTGTAAAGAAAGCAGCCACTAGAAGTACTCAACTTCTAGAATTAATTCACGTGTGGACCTTTTGATATTTCCACATGGGATGGAGAAAGATACCTTATCACTTTTATCGACGATTACTCACGTTATGGTTTTACTTATCTTCTGCATGATAAATCTCAATATGTGAACATACTTGAAGTGTTCATCAATGAGGTTGAGAGACAGTTAGATAAAAGGGTTAAAGTTGTGAGATCCGATAGAGGTGAAGAGTATTATGGAAAATATAATGAGAATGGACAATGTCTAGGTCCATTTGCAAAATTCCTCGAGAGTAAGGGTATTTGTGCACAATACACAATGTCTGGTACACCGCAACAAAATGATGTAGCAGAAAGGCAGAATCGTATATTAATGAACATGGTTTGGAGCATGATAAGTAATAGCTTTTTACCTCTCTCATTGTGGATGTATGCATTAAAAACGATAATTTATTTGTTTAATCGGGTTCCTACCAAAGCAATCTCTATAACACCTTATGAAATGTGGACAGGGAGGAAACCGAGTTTAAGGCATCTGCATGTTTGGGGTTGCCAAGCAGAAATAAGAGTATACAATCCACATGAAAAGAATGTTGATCCTAGGACAATCAGTGGATTTTTCATTGGTTATCCAGAAAAGTCTAAAGGATTTATATTTTATTGTCCTAACCATAGTACGAGAATTATGGAGACTGGCAATGCAAGGTTCATTGAAAATGGTCAAATTAGTAGGAATGATGAATCACGAAAAGTTGGCATAGAAGAGATCTGAGATAACATTTTCACATCGAATATCCCTTCTGTTGTTCTTGTACCGAAATTTACATCAACGTCTCGTGATATTCCAGTACAAGAGCATGTCGAAAACCTACATAATGAGAGCATTTTTAATGAACTAGTCACGGTATCAGAAGAGTTTAATGAACCATCGATCATCTTGAAACGATTTGAAAGAGAAAGGAGATCTGCGATCTCATATGATTATGTGGTTTATGCTCTAGAACATGAATGTGACTTAAGCATTGATAATGATCCGTCTACATTTCAACAAGTCATGAATAGTTGTAATTCTGGAAAATGGTTTGATGCCATGAAAGAAGAATTAAAATCCATGAACGACAATAATGTCTTGGACGTAGTAGATTTACCGGAAGGTGCAAAGAAAGTCAGCTGTAAATAGGTTTTTAAGACCAAGCTTGACTCACGTGGTAATATCGAAATGTATAAATCACGACTTGTTGCCAAATGTTATACTCAAAAGGAAGACACAAACTATAAAGAGATTTTCTCCCCGGTTTCTAAGAAAGACTCTTTGAGAATTATATTGACTTTAGTTGCTCATTATGATTTAAAGCTTCATCAAATTGATGTTAAAACCGTTTTTTTGAATGGTGATCTAGAGGAAGAAGTATATATGGATCAACCTGAAGGATTTATATCCACGAAAAAAGAAAATTTAGTGTGTAAACTGAAAAAATCAATTTATAGACTAAAACAAGCTCCCCAACAATGGTATCTTATATTTAATAATACCATTACATCTTATGATTTCGTAGAAAATATCGTTGATCGATGTATCTACATGAAGGTTAGTGGGAGTAAGTATGTGATTTTAGTCTTATACATTGATGATATTTTACTTGCTGCAAATGACATGGGAATTTTACATGATGTAAAAGTGTTTCTTTCTAAGGATTTTGATATGAAATACATGAGTAAGGCATCCTATGAGATAGGAATAGAATATTACGAAATATATCACAAGGATTGTTAGGATTATCTCAGAAATGTTACATCAACAAAATCTTAGAAAGATTCAGAATGGATAAATGCTTTGTAGGAAAGGTTCCAATTAAGAAAGGAAATAAATTCAGTAATTTACAATGTCCGAAAAATGAATTGGAACGAAAGGAAATGGAAAATATTCCTTATGCATTAGTGGTTGGAAATTTAATGTATGCTCAAACGTGTACTCGATCATATATCAGCTTTGTTGTTGGAATGTTAGGTCGGTACCAGAGTAATCCCGGAATAAATCACTAGAAAACTCCAAAGAAAGTTCTAAGGTATTTGCAAGGCACCAAATAATATATGCTCACATACAGAAGATCAAATAATCTGGAAGTCACTGGTTATTCAGATTCAGATTATGCTGGATGTGTTGATACCATAAAATTAACTTTTGGATATATTTGTTTCTACTTGCCGGAGGAGCAGTATCATGGAGGAGTGGAAATCAGTCTTTCATCACTGCTTCCATTCACAATTTATGGATGTACAACTTTATCTCAGGGTTTAGGATTGTCGACACTGTAGCTAGGCCGCTGAGAATTTACTGTGATAATTCTGCAAGTATCTTCTTCTCGAAAAATAATAAGTACTCAAAAAGTGCTAAGCATATGGAGATAAAATATTTATCTGTCAAACAAGAAGTGTAGAAACAAAGAGTATCATTTGAGCATATTAGTACTGATTTTACGATAGCGGACCCATTAATTAAGGGATTGTCGTCTAAAACTTTTAAGGCTCATGTTGATCGTATGAGCATTATAGATAAGTCATTACTATAATTTAAATAATTGCTCATTATATATATGATATTTTGGATTCAATAAAAATCTTGTTTTTTTTTATTGAAAGTCATATTATCATTAAATTATTTGTGTACACATGAAGTTGATGGAGATAATACATATGCATTATTATTTTACAGTTATTTTTTGCCATAAAAGATGTTTTGGATGACAAACGATTGTGATACTTGGAAGAAATCATATTCAAATAAAATGATGTGTGACCGCCAAAATTCAATTGTTTGTTGTTCAAAGAAAAATTATTGGTGATAGATGAATACAATATAAAATTACGTATTTTAAAGATTGTAGATCATCAAATCATCACATGGGCCAAGTGGAAGAATGTTGGAAATATAAAAATAGCCCATGGAATTTTGGGTTTGGATTTCATATTAATTTGAACTCATTGATGGATATGAGTTAATTAAGTTTGAATGTCTATTGGTATTCATGGTAATCCATCTCTCCTTACGCTATAAATATAGGATCTTGATTTACAATTATCATCCATCAGAAAAAATTATCAAAGTAAGGGTAAAAGAAGAGAAAAACTGATTTACTCGCTTGTTTTTCAAAGTCATTCCGCTGCAATATGGATTCAGATATATTTCATATACGATATATACTATGTTATTAAGTTTGTGTGAATTATGTAATACCGTATCTAGTTTTGGTGAGTTTTCATAAAGTTATCGAAAACCATCAGAATAAAATTTACATCTGAGCCCGCACTTTGCTTTTGGGTTCAGATTTAGGTCGATCTGATTTTTTTAGACCTAAATAACTAAATCGAAATCCGGTTCTATAGACTTCATATTTGGATTCAGATCGGTTCGGACCAATAAATTTGTTTCTTGAAATTTATTTTTCTATTTTTTATATATATATTTTTGCACGTGTCAACCGACCCACTTATGTAGAAGGAGCAATAGGATTTTTTTTAAAACAAATTCAGGTAAAAAGCGAAAATCATTTAGTGAAAAATAAAGGGATTATCCAGAAGAGGAAATTTCCTTTTTTTAGGAATTTCATCGGATTTTTAGGAAATTAATGTAACTGATAAATATGAAATCTATCATATAAATCTAACACGTGTTTTAACCGATCGTCGAAGTTCACTCTCCAAGCGTTTTCCGTACATCTATTTTAGAATCTCAAGCAAAAGGATTATTTACTTATTTCTAAATTAATTTTTTTTTTCATGAGCCCAACGAAATTCATAGAAAATGAAAATGCAATCCCAAGGGGACAGCCCTACGAAAACTCCGGCGATGGTTATTGCGGCGGAGCATTCCCTCCGCCGCCGCCACAGCCGCTGCCGCCTTCGCTGAAGATCAATAAAGACTCTCACTTCATCAAGAAACGGCAGTCTCCGTCGTCATCCTCTCCCTCCGCCGCGGACGTTGCGGCGGCGGCGAAGCCACGTCATCCGGTGATCATCTACACACACTCCCCAAAAGTCATACACACAAACCCGAAAGACTTCATGGCTCTTGTCCAGAAACTCACCGGAATGTCGCGATCCGACGAAGATTCCACCGCCGTCGGAGATCGCCGGGGGAAATCTCCGGCGACTCGTGACGTCGCCTCCAACCACGGAGAGGATCAGAACAAAACCGTCAACAACAGTAACGGTAGCAGAAATCATCAGCTCCAGGGACGCAATCAAGAACCGGCAGTCCCCGTCGTCATCCTCTCCCCCCGCCGCGGACGTTGCGGCGGCGGCGAAGCCACGTCATCCGGTGATCATCTACACACACTCCCCAAAAGTCATACACACAAACCCGAAAGACTTCATGGCTCTTGTCCAGAAACTCACCGGAATGTCGCGATCCGACGAAGATTCCACCGCCGTCGGAGATCGCCGGGGGAAATCTCCGGCGACTCGTGACGTCGCCTCCAACCACGGAGAGGATCAGAACAAAACCGTCAACAACAGTAACGGTAGCAGAAATCATCAGCTCCAGGGACGCAACAGCAACAGAAGCTGCTACGCCGGAAACCGGAGGGGCATTTTCGTGAATAACGCGATTTTCACGGAGGACAGCGAATCTTCGTCGGTGATAACGACGGAGGAGAACATCGGAGAACAAGGACAAGTGAACTCGTCGTCCTGCTCGTTCGCGGCGGTGCCACCGCCGTATCCGCCGCCGCCACCGCCATCACCGGCGATGTTCGATGTCGCTTCGTCGTCGACGTCTCCGGCGATCAATTACGGCGCGTATTTGTCGGGGATTCCGATTTTCGCAACGAATCCATCGGATGGATTCCACTGCGTGTCGAACGAATCATTGGCGAATTTCGAAATGGATCCGATGTTCTTCGCCCCAAACATGAGAAGCTCCTTCTCTTCCTCCTCGTCTTCTGGGTTCGATGGCTTAACTGAGTTTCGAGATTTCTAGAACTCCGATTTTTTTTAAAAACAATTAAATTTATTCGTCTACATATTTTTTTCGGCTAATAAAACTTCACAGGAGCGAGGATTAATAAATCGCAATAATTTCCTTCATCCTATCATTTTTGGAGGAAAACATTTTTGTTTTACAAAAATTTCATCTAAAAGTTGTTTCATCCACTCAAAGTTGGAAGCTTTAATATAGCATTTTTTTTTAGCAGAATATGAAGTTTTGATTTTGTTTTCAGGATCTTTTTTCTCCTGCTTGGATTCATATATGAGTTTTTCAGTTCATAAACTGTCTTTTACCATCCAATTTCATGTCGTTTTCAATTTGATAAGAGTTAAGAAGTAGGGTAGTATGATGGTTCAACAAGCTTCAGGATTTTGTTGAGTCGGACTTAATTGTGTTAAATTGTATGGATCTAATGAGTTTACTGACAATTGCAATTCTTTGTTATGTTTGATTTTCATTCCTATTAGAATTATAGGAATTTATCTATAATAAAGTTGATCCCATCCCCTTCTGAAAAAAAAAGATAGCTCATGTAAAAGAAAACTTAATATTGCTTTTTTTTTTTTTTATCAATATAAGAAACTAATTGCAAGTTTTTTATGTGGAGATATAAGTTCAAGTTTGTGTGTTGTAAGAGGTAGAAGAAGAAGCTTGGCTGTTTTGAATGTAAGTTTAGACCTATGAATTGTAAGTTCTTCATATTAATCTATTTATCTATTGCTTTTATTTTTTATAATATTTTTCAAATTGTGCTATAATGTAAACTTTCAAAGCAAATGAGAAAAGAACTCCAAGAGAAATAGTCTTTGGTATATTATAATTTGAAAAAGTCATAAACAACGATATGATTTCAATAATTATAATGGCATCCGAATCATCTTTTAGTATTTACATTATTGAACAAGTATAGAGGTCTTCGTCCATCTAACGTCGTATCTTTTTCTATCTTTTAATCGACGAGAAAAATATTACACTTATTTGCATGTAAAACTGGTTGATTGACTATGAAATTTGTGAAAATGATAAGACATATTGTAGTACATATTTTTCAATCAAAATACAATTGGTTCTTACTATTTTTATGAAAATTGTAGGTAAAAAAGGTGATGATAACGACTATGATGTCAACATCGTTGATGATCATGATGGTGGAAACAATGTCAATGAAGAGAATAATGATGATTTAACATATTATTTTAGACTAGATTGAGATGAAATGGGTTAGATTTTGAGATTATATTACGTGAGACAATGATAACAATGATCAAGGTTATCACGATATGCAAAATAGATTTGGGATTTGGTTTGGACTTGGTTTATTAATTATATGTTTGGTTTAAATCTATTAATAAAGCGATGCATTTTGATTTGTATTTGATTATAATTGAAAGATTTTCAAAACATATAAAAATGATTAGTTGTGTGTTTGGTTTAAATCTATTAATTGATTGACCATGTGTTCTACCGTTTACCAAGTAATATTATTCTAGTGTTAATAGATTGATAAATGTAGGAAATACAAAAGGGACAATTGCCAAAAAAACTATGTACTTTTTATATGTCTCAATTTAATACCTATACTTATTTTATGTCTAATAAAACCTATGCTTAACCGAAATAATGAAATATTCCTATACTTTTAAAATTTTAACCAAAAAATATCTGATATTAATTATTTGCCATGTAAGCAGACAAAAATCAAAGTGGCAATTTTTTTTTTCATTAAACGTTGTCTTGACATGTAGGATTAATGAACCGAATATTTAACCAAAAATAGAAGCGATTTAAATTATCCTATGATTTAAATTATATTATGTTATGGACTCAGATTATGGTATGAAAAAGTGTGTTTTATAGTGAAGAGTTATGCATGTGAACTCAGATTATATAATAAAGAATGGTTGATAATAAATAATATGGAGAGGTACACAATACATAACGAAGATATCATCTAAATTTAAAAACAAAAACGATAATTCAAAAAAACACAACCATGTTCATACTCGAGTGCCATTTTAGTTCGGTTGATTTTGTCTTGGAACTTTAAACTTTCTACCCGCACATGGTGTAATGACAATCCTCGAGGGAAGTGATGAAGTTGAGATGGAAGCACCTCGGGGATGTTGGTTTCGCGAAACATGAGGAATTGTTGATTGTGTAGTCTAACTAGATTGCTTTAGGATGGACAAACCTGCACTACTCTGTTGATTTTGTGATCTGACATGATCAATAGTTGATCTCGTCCTCTTTTGTGGTAGCCTCAAGCTAGTTTCACCTCCCAACTAGAAATAATAAAACCAAATAATCACAACATAATCATTCAAATCAATGTGTAAATTGAATAATTAAACACGTACTGATGATTTTCTCGGTCTACCCCTTCCTCGCCTTGGACCATAAGATATAAATGGTTCATTTTTATACGTCTTAGCATTATGTCCAATCTGTTTACATTGGCTACATGTCATTTTTCTGTCGTGACGGAAAATTTGACCACTCTTCGATGGAGACTCATGGGGATCATTTGTCCGCTTGAACTTTTTAGGTCTACCAGGCATCTTTTTGGGATGGGGATACCAATTGGATCTTTCATTGTCATTCTCCAAAATATAGACCCATTTACAGAGTTTATATTTCGTTGATATGTTTCTTCTCACTTTGACTTTAGTAGTAATCAGACACATCTGCAAAAAATGATAATGATAATCTGTAATGTTAGTAAAACAGAACACAATTATGTATTGAACATATGAAACACAATACTTACCCAAATAAAATTTCTCGCCTCCTATGGAGGACAACTAATGCATGATGACAAGGAATACCAGTTAAATCCCATTGTCCCTACGGACGAATTTTGACGTTGAGATCAACAGTATAACTTATACCTGAATTCACTACCTCATATTTTCCATGACCATTAGGGATCACCAAACAATACCCAATTTTTCGTCGAGCTGTTTCTAACTCTGTCATTGCATATGGTGTAAACGGAGTAACACATTTATTAGCATCTCCTAGTCTCTTTCTCCAAATGTTCTCAAGCATATCTACAATTGGTCTTAGACAAGCATTTCTTATTGAGCTATTGTAGCTCTCATTCAAGTTGTTTAGAATATCTCCACATTTTGATACTCCACTAAAAAATATTCGAGACCAATGCTTTGGATTAGTGGCTACTAAAGCATCATATGCAGCAGGGTTATCACACTTTAAGGCATCGATATGTTTAGAAAATTCACCTGCATGTTAACAATTGTATCAGAAATAACACCTACATGGCAACAATGGTATCAGAACATTTACTTTCATGATAGTTATATGCAGCCTTCCAAAAGTATTTCTTCAAACTGATATGCTTGAATTATTCTTTCCAATTGGCATAAATATGTCGTTCACACATTTGATGCTCACGTCGTGGCAATTCTTCCTCAATTGCCCTAATCAAACCTTACAACCAAATGGTTTTGAACTATGTTAGTATAACAACTAATATGTATACATTTACATACACTGTAAATATTAATAATTACCTTTTGCTTGTCAGAATGTATAGTGATGCCTTGTCCTTCACTGAGATCTAAATCAGTTTTCAACTTGCTTACAAACCAACCCCACGTATCATTGCTCTCAACGCGTACCACAGCCCATGCAATCGGATAAACTCTATTATAACCATCTCTACCAATTGTCGTTAGAAGTTTATCCTTTAATGACCATTTTAAAAAACAATCGTCCAATCCTATAATCGAACGACAACATTCCTTCCATGTTTTCCGCAAAACCTCAAAACACATAAAAACGGTCAGATAATTGCTCACCACCATCATCTTCCGATATGACACCGACTTGTGCAATGTTTAACCAAAATTGTTTGTCACGTTTGATTTACATATGCTTACATGACAATTAATTAACATTAGGAATTTTTTGGTTAAGTTTTAAAAAGTACATGAATATTCCATTATTTGGATAAAATATAGGGTTTTATTGGACATAAAATAAGTATAGGTATTAAATTGAGACATATAAAAAGTATCGGATTTTTTGGCTATTGTCCCAATACAAAATTATATTTGATTTTATGTGATGGTAATGATGATGAGGATACAGGGGCTGATGGTTGTAATGACATCGTCATGGAGTCGGTGGGTAACTCACGGTGTGTTCGATAGAAAAGGTTGGTTTCTTGTTTAGAGTCAAGGAAATGATATGGTGTTGATGATGGCGGTCCATGTGTAGAGAATGGAAAAGTATTTTCGTCAAAGCAAACATGGCGAGTGACAATGATTTTTCGAGTTTGGAGGTCAAAACACCGATATCCTCGGTGAAGAGAAGGATATCTGAGGAACACACACGGAGTTGAGCAAGGAGACAATTTGTGAGGAGTTGTAGAGATGAGATTTATGTAGCATAGGCAGTCAAATACTCTCAAATGTGAGAAGCAAGGTGATTTGTGGAAGAGCTTGGGATTCCATTATCAATGGCGGTTGAAGGAAGATGGTTGAGAATATAAACATCCATCCATATATATGCAAAGCTTCAACCCAAAAATTTGGTGGGAGTTTGGCTTGGAAGAGAGTGTCAGAACGAGATTATTGATTGTCCGAATATCTCGTTCGACCTTGTCATTTTGTTGTGAGGTTTGAGGGACAGAAAAGCAAAATAAGATTTCGTGTGTGTCAAAAAATTGGTAAAAAATAGTGTTGTCAAATCCACCGTCATGATCACATTGAAAAACTTTGATGTTTGTGTGAAATTGATTTTGAACATATGAATGAAAATGGAGGAACTTGAAGAACACGTCACTCTTCTGACGTAGTGGATAAACCCATAAAATAAAGTGTAATGATCGAGAAAGACAACATACTATCATATGCCACTAACACTATAAAGAGGGGAAGTCCAAATGTCTGAATGTATTATTTCAAAGGAAGCCGAAACCATAGTGTTGGATTGATAAAAAGGAAGTCGAACGCTTTTGCCAAGATGACATGCTTCACAAGATGAATGCATGCTTAGCTTATTATAATGAATGAAACCTAAAGAAAGCAAAAGATGAAAGATAGAGAAGGAATTGTCGTATGGCCAGTGTGGT